CAAGAACAACGTCGCTCCCGTGTAATTTGGGACAATAATTTGGTAGACACTCCGTACTGTATTAATTAATAAATTATTTCATTAGTTTAAAACTTTTATTTTGCTTTCTTTTGACTAACAACATCGTGTTTTTTGTTTTGTAGGAATCACATATTCCCATAAGCCTTCGAGGGACAACACGATTGCCCCGTTGGCATCCTCGACTAGCGCCCTACCTAGAGAGGACGGAATTGCACATGCTGAGGCACTTAATGAGGCTTGATATCGACAACGATCTGCTGCGGCAATGGCAGAGCGATGACGCCCCGAGCTGCATACCTTCCACTTTCCCGAGGGGTAAATGACGATCACCCTCAGAGACGTTGTCATCCTCATCAGGTTGTCGGTCACTAGAGAGGCCATATCGGCAACTCGAAAAAACCCAAAGATGGTTGGAGGTTGTTGATTCTCCAGCGTTTGGGGTTTGACATACCGACCACAATGCTCGTCGAAGGGGTTGGGCATCCACCGCTAATGCGGGGCAAGTATCGATCCTGTGGCTTGTTGAACACATCCAGTTGGAGGTTAATGTAGGCCCAGACACCACCGAAGATCAAGTGGAGCGGTATGCACGCGTCTACCTCATTGGCTTGGTTGGTAGATTTCTGTTCCCCGATAAGGCAAACCGGTGGATACAAGGCATGTGGTTGCCATTGCTCCTCGGTGACTGGGACGAGATTGGGAGAAAGAGTTGGGGGTCGGCCGTCTTGGCTGGGATCTACCGAGAGCTGTGTACTTGCTCGAGATTGTGAGCGAAACAAGCTGGTGGTGCAATGTTCATACTCCAGCTCTGGGCATGGGAGCATCTTACGATGTTCGTACCTCGAAACCCGCGGGAATTCTGGTTGCCAAATGAGTAGCTACGAAATGTAGCGAATCCCCCCTATGGTGTCAAATAAGTTTAATTTAAGTTAAATTTATTCCAAGTATGCAATATTAGAATTTTAGTGAATTAAGTTATATTCTAAGTAAGAGAATTTATATATATTCCACGTAAGCGAATTTTTGTGAATTTAGATTATTGCCAAGTATGCAATTTAGCTAATTTATATTCATTCCAAGTATGCATTTTAGTGAATTTAGATGCTTCCATAGAATCATATTTTAGTGAATTTAGATATATTCCAAGTCAGGGGCATCGTTCTGACTATATAAAAATAGAGATGAAACCTCTGTGTAGTAAGGCGTTGGTGCCTCACAGAACGCCACCTCGCTGTCGTCGATGTCGTCCGTATCTTACTCCTCACTAACTAATCTCAAATCGTCCTCACTTTCCTCGTCGCTGGAGGCGAATGGATAGCTCGGCTCAGGAGGATTATCGTGATCAGCATCACCAACATCCTCTTCTCGGTCATCCAAAGTACACCCAGATCGAAGGGTGTTCTCAATGTCAGCCCACTCTGGCCCCCAAACTGGCTATTGATCACCGTCGGGATGAACGAATGTGGCTATCTCAGCATGTTGTGGGTATTCTTCCCACTCAACACCTCCTGCAGAACTACCTCCTCCGTAGTTGCTTGAACTACCACCGCATCTGTACCCTCCTGCAATACCATCATCATAAGAATACTGGTGAGAATGAGTTTCACCGACCGGCTCGGTCTCAACATACACCTCTACAAGCCGCACCCCGTTTTCATATAGGAACTGTAACATCATGTTCACCGCGTCATCATCATTTATGACAACTTTTTTTTTTTTTTTTTTGTCATAGAAATCTTGGAAGATTTACAAGGTAAGGATAAGGGTGACCACAACATAACGGCACACTCACTTATCAAAAGACATATAAAACAAATAAGACAAGTCAAATAACAATGAAGGTAATCCAGGAAAGCGTAAGGCATTTTTCGCCACTAAATGGGCAGCCCGATTCGCATCTCGAGGAGTAAAAAGTAAAACAACCTTTGGCAACTGGACTAGCAACTCATGAACCTCTGAATAAATTGCCCCAGCACGTGCATCCGATAAATCACCCGAAATCAGTTTATCGATGACCACTTGAGCATCTCCTGCCAGCACCCATGTTTGGATACCGGTAAGTAATTTGACCAACTCTCGTCTGTCGCGCATACAAATCCTTTCTGCACAAATGACACGGAGTTCTTGCCACGTGAATCTCGACTCAATTTTTAGCATAGTGGATTCGCTATCTTCATAATCGATCCCAATGTCCGAGTTTGTTACCCGACCATTCCACCGAATAATAAGCCGAAACTTCTTAAATTTACTCAAGTCTGCAATTTGTAATAAGTAACTATTAGCTTAATTTGAATAAGATTAGTATAGTATAATTAGTACTTAGGGCTACGAAAATAATATCATCCAAACCCATAAACAACCGCAACTAATCAATCTAACATGAGAATACTAAACAAATTCATCTAAATTCATAGGTAACTAACATCATTCATACCATAATTAATCTAAATAAATTCACTAAATATAGACATATAATTATTTAAAAGATCAAAATCTAAACAATACATAATTATAACATACCGAAATTTTTTGAGTTGCGAGAACCGAGCTTAGGAGGGGATTTTTTTGCAACAATTTGAGCTGAATTGGGAAGATTTTGACGAGGCATGTATGGGAGGGATGGGTTTTTATATGAAAACCAGATGGTCTGATCACCGCAATAGGCTGCTGCGGTGAACATATCACCGTCATTGACAAAAACGGTGAATGCTTGGTAGTTGTAACCTAATTTTTGACCTACCAAGGCTGGAAAACGTGATAAACGATCACCGTTTTGGACTACGACGGTGAGCTGTTCACCGTTTTAAATCTCTGTGGTGATGCTTTCACTGTTGTAGACAATGGCGGTGATCAGTTCACCGTTTTCCATTACAACGGTGATGCATTCACCGTCTTCATAAAAAACGGTGATGTATTAACTGTTTTGGACTACGACGGTGATTGTCATCACTGTCTTCGACGGTGATAGTGATGTACAAACATATGTACTTTGGGAAATATTTTTATAACTAGTTTATTTTGGGGATTTTTTTTAATAACTCGTGTATTCTGGAATTTTTTCCGGAAACTAGTGTAACATAGTATCCACCTACAAAGAGACTTGAAAAGAAGAAGAAATATGTGGAAGGTTAATAGTTATCATAAGAAGAAATAATAGGGGAAAAAAATAATGAAGCAGGTATCGAATTGCAAACCTCCTGTTAGAAATTGACAACAACCAACTCGCTACACCAATCCGCCAAGAAGACCTTCGTGTTATACATGTATGTTTTTCGGTAGTTCATAAGTTTAGGGGGGCCATGGCCCCCCCTTCATACAAGCTAGCTTCGTCCCTAGTTTTAAAGAAAGCAAATAATCCGGGTTGTCGTAATTTGTGCTAGGGCTGTAGCTGTGAATTAGCGGTTTCTGATCAAACGCTCCTCATGTTATTTGAAGGAGAATGGATGGATTATGGGAGTAGGCGGATCGCTAATAGGTTACATCTCAAAATAGTGTCGACGTGGGTACAAGTTTGTTGAACTGTGGATGACCACACCAACCTGCACGTACTTAACCGTATGTTGCGTCCCTCGCGTATTATAACAATACTCTCCCTAATTTCTTTATTTTTGATACATTCCCCTGATTCCTATATGTCCCTAGTTTCTTCAAATTTGTTGCATTTTCTAAAAAGGGTGTTTCCCTGCGAAACCAAATATCCACCGCCAGTGCCGAATTTTTTTGGGCGGTGTTGATTTGACAGTTTTGCGGTGGAAACTCTTATGGTGCCGTTTGAATGGACGCACCACTGAATTCTAACCAAATACCACCGCCGACGTGCCCAACAATGGTGTTGATTTGATTGAATTGATGTGCCACCAACTTCTAACCAAGAAGATCGTTACTACGGTTTGCACCTCTCCAAACTACGTTCGAATGAGGGTGTTTGAAAAATCTACATTACGACTACTCCTATGGAGATTCCTGTGGAGAGCTCTGCGACTACGAATAAGACTACAACTATGGAGATCCTTTCTGGAAGGAGACCTCCGCGAAGGAGTTACAGTGAAAAGGTAAAGTTGAAACAGATGTATTTCTATGTTGATTTGGTTGTCCCTTCTTCTCTCCTTGCTTTGGTGCTTTTATTCAAAAAACATCTTCGTAGTCTTCACGCTTCATGAAACCGCTTCCTCTACTGCTCCATCGTGAACTCCCACATGTCTCAACCCTCTCAACCGTGTGGGTAACTTCCACTCCCACGAGTGCGAAACTTCTCTATAGAGACTTAGCCAAAACGACGCAGAGCCAACACCCTCAATTCTCCGAGGCATTTTAGTGTGCTTTATAGTATTGGTACTATAAAACATTTACAGCCATTAGATCATGTTCAAACTATATAACCCATTAGATTATATTTAAATTATTAATATATTATTTTAGTTGTGTGTGGATAACCGGTACAACCGGTTGTCTTCTCACCAATTAAACGAAAGCATCCGGCTCATCGGCGACCTGAACCCCTGACTCGCCTGAGACTCCGCCACCGCCGACGACGACGGCTCTTCCCCGAAATTCCTCCCCGGCACTTCGATCCCCAACTCCCCCCTCGATTTCCGCCCGCCGGCCGACGTGGAAAGCTCCAACATCTCGGATCGCCGAAAATTAGAACGAATTGAAACTAAATCCCTAAAATTAGAACGAATTGAAACTTTCAATCCGGAGACTCTGTGTGTGATCTTATCAGCTTCTCAATCTCCTTCTTCTACTTTCCGATTTCAATGGCTGCCAGTAAGAGTTACTTAGCCAGGCAGAACTACCGATTCCTCGATCAGAACCACCACCCCCACCACCTCCACAGCCACCACCACCACGACTTCGAACTCGACGAGTCCGACGTCTACGACCGCCACAGCCACCTCCCTGACTCGCGCGAGTTCCGGAAGGTGGTCGGGTCCAGGATCAACAAGAAGTCAACGGCGGCGGCGGCATAGTCCGCCGCGTCGTCGCTGCCGGTCAACATACCGGACTGGTCGAAGATTCTGAAGGAGGAGTACCGCGAGAACCGCCGCAGCAGGGATCCCTTCGACGACGAGGACGAGGAATTGGACGGCGGCGGGGACGATTACGGCAACGGCGGGGTGCGGGTGCCGCCGCACGAGTTCCTGGCGTTAGGTTACCTAATTCGCCACTACACCGTCGACGTTCCCGCTCCAGAACGTTAAAATGCGATTTTCGTGGAGTTCGCCGGAAATTCGCGAACTACTTTCTGCAAGAGCGCGATTTGAAATTCAGGGAGCGCGATTTTGCGTGGAACCCAGAAGACTAGCGCTGATCTTGTGAGAGTTAGCCACCAGAAACAATGGATTTCACAATCACTCTGGCCGCATCATCCCGTCGACGCAACTCTGTCCCCGCTCTTCGCCGTTCCATAGGCAGATCCACGCATGCAAACAACAAATTACACAGTAACCGCAAATCCAAGACTCGTCCTCATATATCTAATCGAAATCGGGAATCAAAAGGTCCAGAGGATTATAAGAGAAGATGAAGTTCCGAGGAAGCCTACGAAAGGAGAAGTCTCGTCGCCGATGACCGTCAATGCCGTTTCTGATATTTTTCTTGACGGATCTGAGGGATTAAGTAATTGCCGCGGGATAGAGTGGGTGCATTGCATCTATTTATGTCTCTCCTTCTCCTTGAACTTTCGATTTCGATTTTGTCACTCAGAAAGTGAAGGAAGAGAAGAAGAAAAGAACGCAAGAGAGAAAAACAGAGGACGAGGTGGTTGTTTGGAGAGGAGGAGGATGCAATTATCTCAATTAATTGGAGTCCCACTCCAAATTCCCAAGCCATGAAATTGAAACGCCTTTTTAAAAGTAATCCAATTAATTGGACTATGCTAATTTTCCTCCACGTTTCTTTAATAAGATTTTTTTGTGTGTAGAAATATATCTTTTTCTTATACATTATTAATAGAATTTTTTTAACGTAATAACCTAGTGTAATGTAAGAAATAGATATTCACTCTATTTTAAGTCTTGGAATGAACATTATTCATTAAAATATATAATTATTAATTATATATTTATAAAAAATAATATAATTATTAACGCTCTGTGCACGCTCTCAATTTTGTGTTCTTGAAAAATAAACGCTCTTGCGCTCTCGCTCCCGCTCTCGCACTCGTTCCCGCTCCGCGAACTGGTTACCTAATCCTGGCGAGGCAGATGGTGAGGACGAGGATCGCGTCCTTCTCCGTCCACGAAGGCGTGGGGAGGACTTTGAAAGGGAGGGATCTGAGTAGGGTCCGGAATGCAATTTGGGAGAAAACTGGGTTCCAAGACTGAAATTTTCCATTTCCCTTTTTTTTTTTGGAACTAATTAGAGGGGGAATAATTATTAATTTGGAATAATTATTAACTTGCATTTTAACTTGCATTTTAATTTTCCATTTCCCAAAATTGTACCTATACTAATGGTACAACTTTTAGTTGTACCTACACTTTTTCCAAATCCTTCTATGGTACAACTCAAACTTGTACCTATACCATGGTACAACATTAAGTTGTACCTACACTTTCTAACAAATCCCTTTATGGTACAACTAAAAATTGTACCTATACTAATGGTACAACCTTAAGTTGTACCTACACTTTCTCAAAATTCTTTTATGGTACAATGCAAACTTGTACCTATACAATGGTACAACTTTAAGTTGTACCTACACTTTCTAACAAATCCTTTTATGGTACAACTCAAAATTGTACCTATACTAATGGTACAACTTTAAATTGTACCTACACTTTCTAATAAATCTCTTTATGGTACAACTCAAAATTGTACCTATACTAATGGTACAACCTTAAGTTGTACCTACACTTTCTCAAAATCCTTCTATGGTACAACCTAAACTTGTACCTATACCATGGTACAACTTTAAGTTGTACCTACACTTCCTAAAAATCCTTCTATGGTACAACCCAAACTTGTACCTATACCATGGTACAACTTTAAGTTGTACCTACACTTTCTAACAAATCCCTTATGGTACAACTAAAAATTGTACCTATACTAATGGTACAACCTTAAGTTGTACCTACACTTTCTCAAAATTCTTTTATGGTACAACCCGAACTTGTACCTATACCATGGTACAACTTTAAGTTGTACCTACACTTTCTAACAAATCCCTTTATGGTACAACTAAAAATTGTACCTATACTAATGGTACAACTTTAAGTTGTACCTACACTTTGTGAAACAAATTCTTCAATGGTACAGCTGAAACTTGTACCTGTACTATATGGTACAACTCTAATTTGTACCTACACTTGTATACATTGATTCATTATTTACAAGATTGCCATTAATGATGTGGGACCAGTCATTTAGTGGGTTACCTCCTCAACAAGTCACCTTTTTTTTTTGTTTTTTATAGCATGGGTGCTATAGAGCACACTAGAAGGGCTCCAATTCTCCACCATGGTTTGATCATCCAAACAACCTTGTCCACAGAATAAACAACGATGTTTTCCTCTCCTAAACAACGTTGCTCCTTAGTATTGCGACATCGTTTTGCCTTGCAGCTTTGTTCATTCGTCAAACCACATGCCAACTTAGCTTAGGCAAAACAACATTGTTGCTTACCTAGTCGAGTCTGCGGCATCGCTAAACACAAGCCATTGTTGAAGTCTTGCCACCACGGCCTTTTTTTTAGTTAAGCAATGTCGTTTCAGGTACCACAACGTTGTACTCCATGAAACAACACCGTTTTCTACTACCGCGACATTGTTTATGTGCAATTTCTGGCGACATTGTTTTTACTAAACATTGTCGTTTCTTATTACAGCGGTGCCGTTGTGGATTGACCTCTCGCAGAGTTGTTTTATTTTACTAAACAACTTTGTTTCTATTCCCTCACGATGATGTTGGTCACGCCACCAGCAGTGTTATTTTCGGCCCCTTCAAAATCTTCTCCTCCTTCGGTAAGGAATAAAGAGCACTCCTTTCCGACTCCAACTCCAAAACCAACACTGCAAAACTGCTCACGACATTGTTTTCTACTAAACAATGTCGTTTCAAGTACCGCAGCGTTGTTGGACTTACTCGCGGTGTCGTTTCTCTCTGTGATGTTGCTCGGCTCCAAAGACACCGTTTTTTGTCATGTGGTATCGAATTAAATGTCGAGACTACTTAATGCGACATTGAATTCAATCCAAAATAATTTTAGGTGTCAACACCGCTGAAATTGTTTATCATCGACGCCGTTAATCTCGCGACGCCGGCAATATCTAAAGCCAAATTATTTTTAGATGTAAACAATGGCCACCACAACTTAGTTTATAAAAATTAATTTTTATGAACTAAGTTGTTGACACGATTGAAAAAATCTAAAATATTAAACAACTTGCAACTCAACCACTAAATCCAAAAAGACAGCATTGCGCCATACAAACTTGTGGCCAAACTTTGTCACAATTACCAAGTTACTTGTAACCATTATTGCCTCCACACCACCAATACTGTTGACTAACCTGCCTGGTTGCATGTTTACGTATGTACATATGTGTAGTTTCTTTGGGGTTAGTTACTGGCCCATTAGTGGCCCGTTTGTTTATGTGTTTGGGCGTGTAAGATGATTGTCGAGTAGGGCTGGTCGAGTGCCCTAGCTAGGACGTATATAAGGAGAATCTTCTCCTTCTTGTAACCTAAGCCGACTTTACAGAGTAATCAGATTATCAGCTTTGAGAGCTCCATAGCTCTCCCGTGGATTAGTCCTAAATTAGCTTGGAATCTCTTAAGCTGACCAAGCCCTCTCAGTCCAGCTACCCGGCAGACGACTAGCTTTCACCAGGATAGAATGCTGAGGCTATGAACACAGATCTCCACTACTGGAATGATTCCAGTACAAAGCAGTGAATTGGCTAACTCTCGTACAACCAATTCACTACTATCAATCAAGGAAGCTCTCTTAACCTAATCAGATTCTATCTATCATAGGTTAAAGCAGAAATCAAGAGAATTTGATCAAGATCCAATTGACTCAATAAATCATGCCTCAATCGATTATAATCAAACAATATAGCATCCAAAACTTCATACAAGAAAGATCCTAACTCATGGAACTAGGGTTCCTCAAAACCTAAGTGAAGGGAAGTTACTCCATAGAGAAGAGAGAGACTGCAGAAATCTGATCTAGATCTTCAATCTCCATCTCCAAGCTTGATTCCTGAGCTCCAATGGCGAAGAAATCCTCCAAAATAGCTCCAAGAATGTTCCCAAGTCGCTCTCTCTCTCTAGGGTTCGTCCCTTGGGTGTTTGGGATCCAAAACCCAGCTCTCTCCCCTTTTGGCTCGGATTAGGCTTAAAAACAGGCTTCCCCGAGTTGCACGGCCAGGTGCACGGCCGTGCACAACACCATTCTGGCCGTGCACCCTCAAAACGCACCGTTTCACTTAATCGATCTCAGCCATCTTGCACGGCCAGGTGCACGGCCGTGCAAGGCTGGATTTTGCCCGTGCAAGGCCTCGGCAGAGAGCGCACGGCCGTGCGCCTCCCTGGTCTGCCCGTGCAGCTTGCTCAGCCTCTGTTTAATGCTTCGTTTCTCCCTCGTCCGGACTCCGAATCAGTCGCCGTTTGATCCCAGATGCTCGTAGTCTCGTCCTCTTTCGTTTCATAACAAGCTTTCATGATTCTCTGTCCATAAAGTGAGGTAGAAATAAATTCTTCTTCAGGTCATGCCCGAGTTTCTGCTCCCGAATCGCCAATTGATCTCTGATTGACTTGAAACTTGCGCCTATGCTTCACTTTATGTGCTAGGACCTGAAATGTGACAAAGGAACACAACCTAGCATAAAATAGGCCAAAGACACGGTAATTCAAGCTCAAACAATCAAGAAACAAAGGGGAAAACATGTGCAAATACCGAGTCATCAGCCCTCTATTCATCTCACCCTCCTTACTCTCGTCTTCGTGTGTTTGGCTGTATATGTTTTGTTCTTCTTCCTCGTCGTGAACGTCATAAGCTTTCTTCTAAAACAGCTCGTTGTGTCCTCTTAGGGTATAGTGATGTTCACAAAGGGTATATCTGTTTTGATCTTAATCTCAGTCGAATTCATATATCCTGTCATGTCGTCTTCTTTGAAAAAGTCATGTTTTATTCCTCCACCTCTGAGAGAGTTTCTCTGTTGTTCTCGTCGACTCACTTGCCCTCTTTTGATGATGAGCCCGAAGATGATCTCCCTCTTCCGATACGCCTCCCGACCCTCCTAGTTCTCCCATCATCTCCACACTAGCTTCCTCTTCATCATCTTCGTCGTTGGATTCCTCGCTTGGAGATATATCACTGCCAATTCCTTCACCGGCTGCCACTCCTCCTGTCGTTCTACGACAGTCCACTTGAGCTACGTTTGGGTGTCCACCCACTCAGTTTGGTGAATTTTTTTCCCATGGGGTGGAGTCCATACCTGTTCCCACTCGTTATTCACAGGTGAAAGGAAATGTTGATTGGGACAGAGCTATGAGTGAGGAGATGACAACTCTTGATGGTAATGGCACGTGGTCGGTTGTTGACCGTCCTCCTCTTCCAGTTCCCGTTGTTGGCAGCCGTTGGGTCTATGCATTGAAGTTTCTTCCTGATGGAAGTTTGGAATGCTTCAAGGCTCGAGTTGTGGCTCGGGGATTCTCACAGGAGTACAGTGTGGATTTTGATGAGACTTTCGCTCCTGTTGCCAAAATGCAGACTGTTCGGACATTGTTGACGGTAGCTACTATTCGTGATTGATCCCTGTTTCTACTTGACGTTAAAAATGCATTCCTTCACGGTGACTTGGAGGTTGTGTATATGGAACTTCCACCGGGTCATCCGCAGGCCTCGTCCAACAAGGTTTGCTTGCTTCATCGTTCATTATATGGTCTTAAACAGGCTCCGAGAGCCTGGTTTGAGAAGTTCCAACAGACAATTGTTGATTTTGGTGTACAGTAGAGTCTCAATGATCCTTCTATGCTTCTTAGATCATCTGTGCATGGCCTTGTGGTTCTCCTTGTTTATGTTGATGATATGATCATCACTGGTGATGATGCCACATTGCCACTGGCATTACTCAACTCAAGGATAATCTACGGTCTCACTTTGCTTTGAAAGAACTTGGGGCGATTAAGTATTTTCTTGGTTTGGAGATTTTCCGTTCCTCTCGTGGCATTCTCCTTTGACAAAGAAAGTATATTAGTGATCTCCTTGCTGAACATCGTTTTGGTGATTGCATTCCGGGGAAGACTCCTATTGAGCTCAACCTGAAACTTAGCAAGGACTCCGGCGACCCTCTTCCTGATGATGCGTCTTACCGTA